TGTTCTTTTTTTTTTTTCTTTTCAGGCCAAGAAGGCACTTTTTATACTGACATGTATCATTCTCCTCCATTTCTTTTCTCCCACAAATCCAATCCTAAAATGGAATTCACTAAGCAAAATCTTATCTCCTCATCTTTCCTCTTCCCACTGTTTCCTTCATTTATTCCTTTATTGAATGCTCAATTACTACTTACTGCCTTTCAATATTTATTAAGAACCTTCAAGAGCTGTGAAAAAGAGGGCCAGGCTCTGGCCTTGGAGAACTCTATGGTTGTCTTCCCTGCAACCCTCAGAACTGTTCTACTCACCACGCTCACTGCTCAGACCTTGGTCCCCTTCTCCTTCCCATCCTAGCCTCCTGCACCCACATCAAACTGTACCTGCCTGAAGAATCTATGTTTTGAGGGTCAAGCTCTCTGCTTTCTGGATGACAGCAAGTTCAGAGAGAATGACTCGGTGTCTGCTAATTCTCTGTTTGGCTTTTGAATTGGTGTTGTCATTCTATTCCCAAAAGATATGAGGGTACATTGTTATATCTCTAAAGTCACACTGCCTGGAATAGGTGTCATTTCAAGCAAGATGCTTTCCTTGGTCTTGCAAGCATCCTGTTTGGATGATTCCATCACCCCTGGTAAAGCTAGGAGGTTCAAGAATCTTGCTCAGATTCCAGTTTCTTTTCAGATGGTATTTTCCACCTCCAGTCTCTGGCAGCAGAGAGTCTATGTCTAAGACCTGATCCCAATATTCAGTAGCTAAGTGACTTCATGTATGATATGTAGCTCACCAGAGCCTCATTTTGCTCATCTGTAAAACAGATCAATACTAACCTCATCAATAGCTCAGTTGCTCATGAGGATGGTGAGGTCATGCAAGTAGAAAGAGCTCTGGGGGAGTTGGTTGCTGCTATTATTCATAGCAATCTCCCTACCTGCCACCCCTGTTCAGTAGAGCACCCACAGCAAGGGAGATGTAAGGAGGACAGCTCACCCCACTCCAGGGTGTGGGGCAGAGAAAACACTAAAAACAGACTCATCTTGCTTATGTTACCAGCTGGGAGGGAAGGACAGTGAGAGACTGAAAGCATATTGAAAATTTACCTGAAACGAATCCTGAGCTCTCCTAAAATTGTCCATTCTGGGCCTAGAGTGATATCAACTGACCATTTGGAATGACTCCAGAGGGCAAAGGAGGCCTGCAGCTCCCAGTTCCAGAGGTTTCACAGGGAGAATTAGGGGGGCTATGGTTTGCTTTCCTCAGGACTCTCACAAAAGGAGCAGGCAGCATGTAAGTCCTGATGTCCACACTCTAGAAGACTACAGAACTAGGAGTAAGCATATGCCAATGAATAAGGCAACCTATGCCCCTTCCTTATTTTGGTCCATAATCTTTCCTCCTCAGCCACTAACAACGGAAGCCTAGGCCTACATCTGTACCTGGTCTGAGCTCCAGCCAGCCAGCCATGCAATAGGTATTGGTGTCTATTCTGAGTCAGATTCTCTGCATGGGGATAAAACACAGGAGCTTCCAGTAATCCTGTCTCCCAGCCCATAGAAGTGACACTTGCAGAAAAGGAGGATTGATGTATTTTATAGAAGTTTGGAGGGTGGATATCCTGATCCACTTTCAGGGGAGGGAGAAACACATAAGCAGAGATAAAGGCATCCTCTCTACACCTCCCTTTCCTTTTCTGTAAGAATCAGGCCTTCTGACTGCTCTTGTCTCTTTGTCCCTGAAGGGTTGGGGCAGTTGGAGGAGGCGACTATTGGCCAGGATAAAAGGAGACTGGAATGGGTGGTGAGCAGGCTGGGGGAAAGTAGAGAGAAAACAGCAACTTCACTGCTGCTTAGGAAGCCAGAGCCAGGTGGTAGAGTTGATACTTAGGTCAGAAGCCAACATGTTGATAGCTCTGCTAGGTCTGTGTCTTTATTCCTATGTCCTCATCTCCCCAAGATCACACTTCCTCTTCCCTTGAGTGGAAAAAGATGGGTCTGTGAGACCAGCAGGTATAGGCTTAAATCCCAGGCCTCCTGCAGCCATCAATATAACTTTAAAGAATTTGCCTCAGTTCTCTGAGCATCAGAGTTTTTATTGATTAAAAGAAAAGGCAAAAGAGGGCTACCTCACTTTCCCAGCACTAGAGAGGCTCTGAGTTCCATGAAAACACAAAAATATGTAAGATTCCCTGCATTGGCAGTTTGTGTCTTGTTTTCCTCTGAATTCCAATCTCCTTCCAAGCAAAACTTTCTTCAGTTGTTAACTATCTTCTACTCTATATTCTGCTCTAGTGTAATCTACAATACAGAGTTTTCATGAATAAGCTTTTGGTTCCTTCCAGGCAGGAGTTACAGCCCATCCTCTTAAATGCCCCTAGAATTGAGTGCACAAAGGTGGTTAGAAATCCACCTCCTTACTCATTCATTCAGATTCATACTCAGGACCACTCCTGGCCTTAAGAACAGCAGTAGTCAGTAAATGTGCTTTGCTGTAGGAGGCTGGGAGCCATGTCTATGCACCAGGTGGTGAAGCCTGGCTGCCACAAAGGGGTGGAAACAGTTCACCTACTCCTGATTACAGCCACAGTCTCAGGGAGCAACTGAGGAACAAGGGCATGGTTGCTCAACCTGGGTGTACTGTGACCTGGCACAAGGAAGCTCAGTTAACTCTCTGGCTCTATGGGATCTGAGGCTGCATAAAGAAAAGGATCCCATGCAAATGAAGGCCAGTGTATTGGAAGGCTAAATAAATTTAATTAAAGGAAGGCACCTGGAGACCCAGCTGTGGGAGGAGGAAACTAGAACAAGTCAGAGCACTTGAGGTCAGGGAGGGGAGAGAGGCTCTGGCTCTGAAAGGTTCTTTCCTGGAGGACCCTTCCCCCACAGCCTTTGCCTCCTCAGTACTCCTCCTAGTTTCAGCAGACAGGGGGACAGGTGGTGGCCTAACCCAGACTTAGGGATGATTATGCCTGGACCCCTCTATGAGAGGAGCCTTCTTGGCCTTGGACATAGGACTGGAAGGTGTTTGGCCCCAGGCAACCAGTCAAGGAAAAAAACAGCCAGGTCTCCTTGGCTGCTACCATCAGGGCCTTTCTGCTGCTTGGCTGGAAATTCCAAGAAGCTGTAAAGCCCAGAGTTACATGGAGTTTGAGAATTTCACCAACACTAAAACTTTCAGAGCCCTTAACAACCTCTATGCCATGTGCTCCATCATTTCATTTAATCCTCACCTATAGGACATGTAGGTGTCCTGATCATCCCCTTCTTGCTGGTCAGATAACCAGACCTCTCAGCTGGCCAGGTCACTGGTAAGACACCACAGTAAGAGGCCCAGCAGTCTCCAAGACTGTTGACCTTCAAAGTTCAAGGCCACAAGATCCTTTCCGTTAGGGCCAAGGGCACAAGAATGAAGATGATGGTGAACACAGCCCTACAGACAGCACCTAGCATTTAACTGGTGCTCACAGTAGGTGCCAAATCTTTGTGACCCTACCTTCTCTGCCCAGATATCCTTTCACATGGCATAGGTGTGTGTACTCCCTCTGAAGATGGCCCTGAAGATACAAAATATGGGACACAGAACTCACCTGATGAGCCCCAACCACAAGGGTCATGGGTGAGGTCATCTCAGGTGCCTGAGTCCTAACCTCATGGAGGCCCATGTGTTTCCATCCAAGCAAGATGGAAAAAAGGGCGTGTTGTTATAGTTGGTTCCTCTCTTTTTGTGGAAAGGTGTGCTGAGGATTGGGAATAAAGCTGAACTGAAATCTCTGAACCCAAAGCAATATCCAGGAACCAGTGAGATCCTGGTTCACAGTAAGCTCCTCAGTTCAGATTCATCTCTTTTTAATACTACATACCAGGCACTCAAGAATTCTGTGATATATCAAGGAAATAATATTTTTTTACCTACCTGGGAAAATCAAGTTGTTGTAGCCAAACTGAATGCTACTTTATTATGCTATCTCCCATAAGATCACCTGCAGTGGAAAAAAAAAAAATCACCTAAGCAGGGTGGGGCTTCTTTCCAGTCTTTGAATGGCCCTATAGAGTGAAAGTTATCAGTGAATTTTGCCTGAGTGTCAACAGGGTACAAAGCTCTATAGGATATTTCACCCTTGGGAAGTCAGTAACAAACACACTTGTTTTGCAAGACAATACTTTTGTTTTGAAAGCCAACAGCTCACTCCATTTAAGATCATCTGCAATCATTGCCTCCCTTTTATAAATCAAGAATCTAAGGCTGGGAGTGGTTACATGGCTTTTCCAGGGCTATTTGGCACCCAACTCAGTCTACTTTCCAGAATTTTCTCCATCATGCTCTCTCCAAGTTTGGTTGGTGTCATCTAGAGTTCAGCAGACTCAAATCCTTGTCTAGTTGCCTGCTGAGAACCAGTTGCAGAGGAATGTCCTTCTCTCAAGATGGACAATGACTTGATCAAAAATCTATGGATCCAGTCTAAACAGGGGGAAAAGCTTTGGACTACTAAAAGAACTCATTAGTGTGCAGTGATTTTTGTCATCCAAAGCAGATGCTTGAAGGCAATGGGCAATGTCAAGGTGTCACCAAGAGTCAAACAGGAATGATCCTATCAATGTCTGCCACTCTCATGGGACCTGAAGTCAGGCTGGGCTTATTTTCTTCCTTCTGCCATCAACTACTAGCTGGATCTCAGAGCAGACCAGAATGAGTGAATCTCTCCCCCAGGGTCATTAGGACAGCATCCCCTCCCAGTTTGGCAGTCCTGTAAATCAAAGCCCTAAAAGGTATGGTAGTACTGGAATGGGCGTGGCTTGGCATGGAGACCTGCATATTTAGCACAAAGATCTGATTGTGCAGGTTGTTCCAACCTAACAGTGCCGAAGCTGTCACATGTTCCCTGGACAGCAGGTGCTATAACTTCTGCTCAGAGATTTAAGGCCCTCAGTGGTGGGACTGAATGTCAAAGGGGAGGAGGAAGATTTGGCCATCTCCCACCACCCTGGAACCACTCCCTGAACTTGCCCATGACTTGCTCCCAACTCTCACCTAGAGTGTACTCCTCATGAGATTCTCAGGTCCTTAGAAGAAAAGAGAGAGCCAAGCAGTATTCCCATGTTAAAAAAAAAAATTAAAGACTATTTAGTTTCTGCTTTTACCACTAACTCCCAAGAATCAGTGAGAGCCAGGCATAACAGAGACATGAGTCTTGTGTTTGTCTTGTAACTGCTATGTACACCATGTCTAGTGCCATGACATCACAGTAAGGTCATTATGTCACTTTGCTGCTCACATTCATTTCATGAAACACTCAGGCAATCACATATGTTTACTGAGCATCACCTGTGTGTCAGATCCTGTTTTAGGCACTGAGGAACACAAACATAGATAAAACTAACAAATCCTGCTCTCATGACACTAGCTGACTAGGGAAATCAGATAGTATAGAATGGGCAAAATATATTTTGTCAGACTGTGGAAGAGATAGAGCAGAATGATGGGGGTAAAGAGTAAGGGAGAAGTTTGCAAGCAAGGAGTTGTCAAAGTGTTCACTGAGAAGATGAGATTTCAGTAAAGATTTAGAGGCCAGGGAATAAGCATCAGGCAAGCTAGGCAGGGAACACTCACAAACAGATCCAGAGAGAGAAGGAGCAAGCCTGGCATGTTAGAAGGAAGCCAACAGGCCATGTGGCTGATATAGAACAAAAGAGTCCCAGCAGAGAAAGAATGGGGAAGGAGAAGGGGAAACAATAGGATGTTGGCAGCACAGGCTGATGAAGTAGGACATTGGAGCCACTATACGATGTGTCATTTTTCCTAAGCAAGTTAGCGAGCCACTGAATGTGACTCATGCCAGATGTTTTTTACATTATCTACATGCATAAATACATGTATCTATCGCATATGTCATGCATGACATGATTCATTATTATATAGTAGATTTAAAAGCATACATAGAAACATACATACTGACAAATATATTGGATGTGATCATAGATATATGATGGTGCTTATCCACTATAAAGTATTTTATCAGTCAACAGTATTACTATAACTATGGGTTTCAATGTGCTTTCACACACACTGGTTCACAAAGAAGAATACAATGGGATTAAAAGTGAAGCTGACCCTAACTACTTCTTGTTGAAAATGAGAAAATATAGTGTGGCAGCATTCAACTACTTTGCTCAAGATGTGGATCCGGGATGTACTGCACTTATCCCTTCTTTATGGAGATGGAGAGACTGAGGCCCAGATAAACTGAATGACCCTTCCAAAGCCCTAGAGCTTTAATCCTACTCTTGCAAACCTAACTCTCTGACTCTCATAAGTGATTTTTTTTTTGGTTGCCCTATATCAAAGACAGAATCCCCATGTATAACTTCCCTCACTTGCATCATCGTCTCCAGATTTTCTCTGCTGCTCGGCCACAGGGGGTCCCATGAATGCCCAGAATGGTGCAACTTGAATTCCAAGATGCTGAGCTGAAATTTCAGGCATGTGGCTTCTCCCTTTGCATCAGTCCATCTGGGTCCTAGACAAGTATCTTCCTTGCTTCTCTGATCTAACTGTCATTAGACAGAAACTTCCCCTTTGACACTGGAAGGATTTGAGGTGGGAAGTACCACATCTACCTGTAATGTAACAAAGCTCTGAGCCCAGCATGAGCTTGGGATGTGGGAAGGCAGGATCGGGCTGTGGTACTCACACTCCAGTAGCAACTTATCACCACCCATCCACAGATACACTTAATAGTCAACAGCTGACTATGAAAATGATTCCCCTACCTCATTCCTTCCCTCTACCTCTAGTGCTTCCCTCATCCCTAAAGGAGCACAGCCTTACCCTACCCCACTCACAGGCAGGACTTCTCCAATCCACCAACCACCCTACAGCCAAAAGGAACTTTCTTTTTTTTGGCAGGGGTACCAGCGATTGAACTCCAGTCCTTGCACTTACAAGGCAGGCCACGAACCACTGAGCTAAATCCCTGGCCCCCAAAAGGAACTTTCTAAAACCTAGGTCTGTACTTTCCCTTTCTCCCACTAAAATTCTTTGTCTTGAATATAAAGTCCAAACTTCTTAATATGTCTCAGAGACTTCTGTGATCTGATGGAAAAGATCTTTCCAGACCTATCTTTCAGCTCTAAACACACACACACACACACACACACACACACACACACACAAATTACAATCTATCCCCCACCACACTGAACTCAGATCTACAAGTGTGCCTGACCCCATGGAGCCACACACCACAGCCTTCCACTTTGAGCCCTCCTATTCTTGCATTTGTCTGCTTTATTCCAGTTCTTGCCTCTGATCTCTGCTTAGAGGCCCGTTCTGAACAGTGAGACTGTGAAGCACTCTCTCTGTACTCCACAAACTCCCCAAACCTCCTGCTCACCACTCGAACCCCATCACAGCACATACCTCCCTGCAAAAACCTGTTCTTTTTGTCCATGAGGACACAGCTCTTGTTTTGGTCACCACTGAAAGCCCAGGTCCTAGCAGAAGGCCTAGCACTTAGCAGATATTCCTTTATCAATTGTACAACCTGAGGGAAGGAGTGAGTAAAAGAGAGAAGACCACTCGAGGTAAACCTGGTATCATTCATGATTGTAATTACTTCAAATTCATCATCTGTCACTTTTCCCACTTTTTCTTTTTCTTTTTGTACCAGGAATCAAACTCAGGACCTTGTGCTTGCCAGGCAGGTGGCAGCATCACTGAGCTGAATCTCCAACCCATTTCTTCCCACTTCTTAATAGTTTACAGATCATTTTCACACCACCCTGCTGACAAGATGTGACTGTTATGTGCATTCATTTTTACTAAGTATGAGGAGCCTGAGAATCAGGGTGAGTAAGCAGCTTTCCCAAGGTCACTCAGCTCAGGGAAGGGCTGTATCACAAACCTACATGTGACTTTTGAGTACAGGTGCTCTGCATAACTTGCAACCCCTTGGGCTTTAAAATGGAGAGACTGAGTCCTAAGCAAGGAGATCCATCTCTGTCTTAAATCCTGAAGGAAAGACCAAAAAACTAAACTCAGCCACCCATTTTGATGTGTAAAAGCCTTGGGCTTTTAGGGAACTGAGGTGCTCTCTCTTTTCTCCCCTGGACAATGGTCAGTGTCGAGAATGCTTTGGGAATCAAGTGTTTCCCTGTCAGGAAGCCCATTCTGAGCTTCCATACACTTTGACCACTGCCTGGAAGTTGACTGTGGCCCTAGAGTAGAAGACATCTCCAGGGCCTTCATCTTCCTCTGCCTTCCCTGCATACTTCTACTCTTTGCAGGGATGATTCAAGAGCAGTGAAAAGAGAAAATAGATTGATTAGGCTGTGGGAACCCCATTCATCCCCTCCTGTCCCAACTTCCCAAATTCAATTTCTTATTTTCTAATTTTCCAGGAAAATACTTACACAAAGAGTTCATTGCAGAACAATTTCAATATGGAAAAGAGGGAGAGGCATAGATATCCATTGGAAGGGGAATAGTATTTTGGACTACAATGAAGAAGTTCAGAAGAATCAGGTAGACACACGTGTTTTCACATGCAAAGATGGTCATGACATTGTCCAGTGGACAAAAGCAGCTCACTGAGCAAGACTTAACAGACAAGAGGCTACCGTTCATGCTAAAACATGCACACACACACACACACACACACACACACATCTAACACAAAGGTCACAATTTCAAAGGTAGGAGACATAGGGATACAAACAGAAAAGGTCTGGAATAGAAATAGAAAACAATACATTTACCTCAGGGTAAATTATTTATAATGTATGTATACATTAACACAAAACAGAAAATGAGAGAAGATTCTGACTGCTCGATGAATCCCAGGGACTTCAGCTAGGTCAGACATTGTGCAGTACTAAAGTAGCCCAAAGAGTCTCAGTCCTGGGAATGACATGGCAGCCCTCTCAGGAATGGGGACTGATTCAGTGTCACTCTTCCTGGAAGGAGAGCACTCAACCAGGAGAGCTTGGCAGTTGTAGTGATGGAACAGGCTCTAGGCCATGTAATGGTCTTGGGCACTCAGAGGACCAAGGACACTTTGTCCTCAGGTTATCCTTGGTCCTCTTCCTCACCACCCCTTCACCTCACTGCCACTTTGAGGATCTCTTGGTGCCTCCTTGTGCCCTGAACACAGTAATGGTGACACCACACCATGCTGTAAAAGTCATATAGACATGTCATCTTTATTGTGGCAAGCAAAAAAACAGCCATGCCCTTATGGACAAAAAGAACATTGCCAACATTTCTTGAGTACTCACTATGCTCTAGGCACTTTGGCTTAGTCATCACACTAACACACAAGGAAAGGAATATTACGGGTCTCGCTCTTCAAACTGAAAAACTGTAGTTCAGAGAAGTCAGGTGATCGGTGCCCGGTCACAGAAAGTCTGGGAAGGTACAAGGATTGCACCTTTGGCCATAATTCCCACTGCACAGTTGTGACACCCTCTGTCTCTGCATTATGGAAAGGTGGGCATTAGAATCCAACAGGAAAAGACCCAGGACTTTGTTCTATCTCAATTGGAATGGGCCTGCGGGAAGTGATTTTACTTAGAAAAAATGAAATCTGAGCAGACAGGGTTGAAACCTATGAAGTAATGGAATGTGGATGGAGAGAGTACACATCACCAGAGCCACAGCACACTGTGAGATTCAAAGGAGAAGCATTCAAGACCAACAAAACCAACACTACTTACACAATGATAGGATGTCTAAAAACATAGTTTTAAGTGAAGTTTAGAATTGAACAGTAGGTGATTCTCTCCTTGTCACCATAAAATGTATTCCATGCTTCACAAGTCACCTGAGGGAAGCTGGAGTCCTCATCCCATGCACACTATATCTTTTGTTTCTTTCCATTCTTTCATTCAAGAGGCCTCTCTCCAGGCCTTCTATGAGTCTCCTCACAAGGGGCCAAACTTCCTCTCATCTCATCACTGTGGGGCCTGAAACTAACAGAGACTTTTTCCTAGTTAATTTTATAGCTCATTCCAATAGCTCCCTTTCAGCTATTATGCTGGTCCACTACCCCATTGGGTAGGAAAAGTAGCACTGCTTTGCATATTAGATGGGCCTCAGTTCAAATCCTCGTTCCACCACTCAGTAACTGTGTGACCAGAACAACCTGCTTGCCTGCAAATCC